TGACCACTTGTTCTGAATATCCTACTTAAGGGAGCATCTTTTCAATGTCAAGTTGTCAATCCCATTTAGTATCTTATATACCTCAATTATATCTCTCGTCTACACCGCTGAGCGTATAGCTTAAGCTGCTCCATCCTTCTTCAGAAAACAAATCCCTCATCTCTGGAATCAATCTAGTGATCCTCCTTTGAACTAACTCCAATACAACCATAATCTCTCTCATGTCAGGGGACGAAAATATGCAATGCTCCAGCTGTCTTATTAATGCCTTGCACAGCTGCAACAACACTGCCCTTCTTTATTCCTTTAACAATAAATGTCAGCATGGACCTATTGAGCCAAATGAACTGCACGTTACATTTTAGATACTGTCACAACATATTGGGATGCTGGAAATCAAGCACTGCTATTCCTGGAGTTGTCACAAAGTTTATTTTTTTTATATAAAATACTCAAGATTTCCCTATTTCCCTGTGTTCCAGACCCAGGTTGACAGAAAATGTGGGTGGTTTCTATACTTAACAAAAATTACTCATTATTACAAGCAATTAGCTTGTCACTACAGGTAAACAGTTATGAACCATCAGCATATATCCACTAATTAATAGTTCAATCTCTTTTTACACTCGCTTTTGCCAGTGCACACACGCATACACTGCACATTGGTTATGGAAGGAGGGAGAAACTGGAGAAGCAGCTCAGTGGTTCCAGCTCACAAGGTTTGCTGAGATGATTCTTGTGTTGGTCAGAATGTTACTTCTCGGTCATCCTCTGGATGCTTCGGCTGTTTTGCAAGAGACACGGGGAAACAGGTTGACTTTTAAAATGCTTCTGACTTGTCAATTAAAAGTCACATCTTCCACCAACTGAAGGAAAGATAAGTGGCTTTCTTCATGCTTAAATTGCCTCTCTGCAGAGAATAAAAAGTGCTCTTGAGCTGTTTGCCGTCTGATAGTTTCTTTGCATCTTGTTCACAGCCTGAGAACCAATCACATGATTATTGGTAGGCAGAGGGCCTTTGTCACAAATAAATGGTCACTCGTCCATAGACTACGTGTTACCAACCAAATCTTGTTATATACACAGCTCACCGGCTCTAGCTGTCTGCAAAATACACTTCAATTTCTGGTTTACAAACAGCTGTATAAATCACAGTTGAAATGAGTGCCAGGTTACTTGCTTTCAAACATGCAGCAATCCTGCAGACATCCTTAGTATTTGAAAAACAGCTCTTTTCTCATTTCATTCCACAATTAATAATATACAAAAAAATAGAATCACATGGTCTTTACAATTTGAACTAATTAATAAGTCTTCCTCTTCAATCCAAATCACTGAATGTGAATGATAAATAATGTGAGATGCAGATCTCCAAACATAAATCTGGACAGAAATTGAATTTTTTTTTCTCCACCTTTGATAAACAATGATGTTAAAAAGAAAATAGAACACGGACACATGACACGACAGTACTTGCAATGTTTTTGTACTGCCTTACAAACTGATAAAGGCTTGATAGCTTGATATCATGACTTAGACTTAATAGTTCATAGCAATTGCTTCGTATTATTCAGATTAATGCAGAATAACTCAATATTTCATAACACTACATTTGTTAGAGTTCTCTATTATTACACAAAGTATTTATTTGCATTCATCAAGTTTAACATGCAATAAATCAAATCACAATTTGTTTGGGAACTTTCTTTCTTTATTCATTTAATGTATTCCTTCTTCAATATTTACTATATGCATTTTGTAATCACTTAATTTTCTTACCAGGTAGGAAGGTGTTAAATTATCTAAGTGGATAAATTGTATTGCATTCACCTTGGTAACAAGAATTGTGCGCTGAAGGCACGTGGCCAAGTTGCCATGGATCCCTGAATCCTGTGCCATTTATCTCTTGGTCTTATGACCTAAAGGAGACAGCTTGTAAGCTTCTCTGTATGGAGGATGGTTTAGTTTTGGAGTATGAAAAGACCAGAAATTAGAAAGATTCAAGATAATGTCAAAGCAGTTCATTTTAAAAGAAAAGCAAAAATAGAAAACTCGAGGGAGATTCATTATCTGATGGAAACAGTTTTGGCTTCCTCTTAGCTAAAGCAATAATCCAAAATAACAAATCAGCAGGGCAATAATGAGAAAATATTTTGGATGCAACACAGTCATGAATTGGATGCCAGCAGGCAGTTTTCCCTGTAAGACAAGCTGGAGAAGGGCCTCCTCTCTGAGCTAGAAATTGATGCGACTGTTATCTGAAAAAAACAGTCTAAAAGCAAAAGGTTACCTGTTTCAGCTAAGGAAATTCAATAGAAATAAAATAGCTTCCATTTCACCATCATAATGCTTATCAGCACAATCCAGATGTACAGATTAAGAATTTACCATCTATACATCAAATTTGGATAAATGCTTGACTGAGCGCTTGTTATATTTAATATGCATTTTATGAGTAAAAGCATTTTAGCTGTATTTATTCATGAACTTTCACTGCAAGATGGTGGTGGAGTGAGAATGTCACTGGACTATTATTCCAGGAACAATAGGGCTTCAGTTATCTCAGTTGGCTGGATGGCTGATTTGTAATGCTGAGTAACACCAGGAGTGTGGGTTCAATTCCTGGAACAGCTGAGGTTACCATGAAGGACCCTCCTTCTCAACCTCTCCTCTCACCTGAGGCATGGTGACCCTCGGGTTAAACCACCACCAGTCGTATGTCTCTCTAATGAGAGAGCAGACCTGGGGCTGTGGGACTTTCGTCCAGGAGCCCAGGCCAATGTTCTTGGAAAATATCATCAAATCCCATCGTTGAGCTGGGGAAATTTCAGACCAATTCATAAAATCTGGAGCTGACAGCTAGTCTCGGTATTTGATGATAATGAAACAACTGATTATTGTTAAAATAAAAATGCCTGTTTCACTAATGCCCCCTTCAGGAAAGGAATTCTATCATCCTTACCCAGTCTTGTTGGCTAACACGTGACTCTAGGCTTTCAGTAACTCCTCACTGTCCTCTTAAATAGTCTGGAAAGTCACTTAGATCAAGGGCAATTGGGGATATGCCTTACCAGCAACAGCCAAAACACACAGGAGAATAAATTTAATAAAAGACCAGCTGAATGCTAAGACTGGGAAGAGCAATTAGAGGAAGGCAATACATTGCTCACACTTATTGAAGACTAAAGTCTGGAAATTACTGTCAACATGAAGGTTTACCTCTTTTTAAGTCCAACGGTAAGAAAAGAATTCTGACAGTAAAGTATTCCATTCTGCTAATATTGACCAATTAGTAATGAAATAGATGGGAATACATTCTCAGCCTTTACACTTCACTTTTTTTTTTTCTGTCAGTATAGTTTAGATCTTGAAATTGAGCCAATATCGGTTACTATTACCTCAGTAATTTGTATATTTATTTAAACAAATAAATTGTTTAAGAAACAAATTATTTTCTCAAAAGTTTGTTCTACAAATAAATAATGATAGAGATAGCATTCTTTAGTTCCCTGGCACTGAATTAACTGAGATATGAAAAACAGCAGAAACAAAAGTAGAGACTGCCAGAGATGTATGCTGGTGGAAAGGTACAGTGATAATAATTAAGATGCCTACTGCTTGCTGCAGGCATTATGGAGCAGCTGCCAGCAGAAGCACTGAGATCTAGCCCCATTCTGGTAAATGTTGACAATGGGAGGTGTGTTATAACCTGTAAATTAATCCAATACAACAATGGCAGACAGTCAGACTGGGGCAGTCTCCTGGTCATCTCCTGTGCTTGATGTGGAGTGTTGTCCCTCAAGCTATAGTCCCTGGTATAATTAGCCATGAGCTTTGGGGTCTGTTCCAGGAAAAGCTAGCTATGTGAACAGACATAAACACGTGCATTGTCTGCCTCATGCATCTCTAGGCACTGCAAGACAATCAAGAAGAAGAATTTTGATTGAAAGGCTTTTCCACAAAATTTGTTCCCAACAAATGGTATTGGAAAATTGACAAAACCCCAGGATCAGATGTCTTCCATTCCAGGATTTTAAAAGAAGTAGGTAGGAAAATCATAGGTGACCTATGCACAAACATGAACACCAACTGGCTACAAAAAGACACGACCAATACTCACTCATCTCAATCCACATGGACAAGGAGAACCACGACTTCGACTGGGACAACACCAAGATCCTGGGACAGGCTAGGCAGAGACAAGCACGAGAATTCCTGGAAGCATGGCACTCCACGAAGCATGCTATTAATAAACACATTGAACTCGACCCCATATCCATTCCACTATGGAGGAAACCCAGAAGTGAAGCAATCCATTGCAATGGACCCCAGAGTTTAAAAAACCAGGTGGGAAAACACACCGGTGCTTCATCAGAGGCTGCACTGAGGATGTTACCAAGCACAGTAACGAAACGTCTGCGGAACAACAAACCAGCTCGGCGAGCCAACCAACCTCAAAACATTTGAAGCTCTCTCATCTTTAGAAGCATTCTTTTAGGTTGGAAGAACATGTCATTAAATTATTTTAGTAAGGTGATAGAAGAAATCAAGGGAGTTATAATCTAGTCATCCTAAATCTGTTGTCGGGTTGTATCAGGATGGAAAAGGAGACTGAGTACCTTGAACATTTCTGGCTAGTCAGCAAGAGATAGTAAAATGTAAAGGTTAGGGAAAAAAGTACTTGAGAAACTTGATATTTTTGAGGAGGGGACCAAAGTAATGGACGAGATAATATTTATGAGTGCCATGTATATGGACTTCCAGAAGGCACCTATAAAAATAAAACCCTGCTATGAGATTGTTAGCTAACATTGAACCCCACGGATTGGGAGGCGATGTTCTGATCCAGATGACAGCTTAGTTGAATGATAGAAGACAGAGTACAGATAGTGGCACACACTCCAAATGAAAAGATGTGAAGACAGGATTTAAACAAATCACTGTTTATTAATAACATAACTAATGTCAAATATTCTACTTTTTCCATGACGCAAATATAGGTGGCACTGTAAGGAGTGGAACTAAAGTATAACATTTCAACAAAAGAAGAATGAAGGACTTGCATTTACAAAGTCTCTTTTATTAAAAGTGGGTAAGTGAAAGTTCTTTGCACATCGTATTTTTTTTTGACATATAGTTACCATTGTAATGTAGGAAGCATAGCAAGTAATTTATGCATGAAAAACCTCCTCAAGCAGCAATATGACAATGACCAGATACTTTTTAAAATTTTGTTTGAAAGATAAATATTGCCAGGACAGCAGGGATAATTTGAACATACGGTGGGTGCTGGACATCAGAAACAAGCACAGAGAATGCTGAAAAAACATTCAGCAGGTCTGGCAGCATGGGTGAAATGAGAACGAGAGTCAACATTGCAAGTCCAACTCTTCTTCAGAAAGGAAAGATGTTGGAAAATGCTTTTTTTCAATAGAAAAATAGAAGATGGGGACAGGAGTAGGCTATTTGACCCCTTGAGCCTGCTTTGACATTCAATATGACTGTGGCTAATCATCAATAATCATCAATACCTGAAATCTCATCCTCCCCCTCATCCCTTGATCCTTTGGCCACAAGAGCCATATCTTTCTCCATCTTGAAAATTCAGAATGCTTTGGTCTCAATCATTTACTGTGGTAGTGAATTCCACAGGGTCATCACTGTTGGGTGAAAAAATTTCTTTTCATCTCCTCAGCCCGAAAAGGTTTACCACTTATCCTTAAACTGTGACCCCTGGTACTAGGCTACCTCACCATACTTCTGACAGGCAGAAGAGAGTAGATTGTTTAGAGGCTCGGTGCAAAGAATAAAGGGATTGTTAATGGTGATGAAAGAGAGAGTTATAAAATTGTTGTGAATTAATGTGTGATAAGGAGAACAAAGTAAAGAAGATAACATTGTTGTGGGGTGGTGTGGTGGGAGAGAATCTAACAAAAATTGGAGATAGATATAATGCAGTCAGTTTTTAAAGTCATGAAATTCGATGTTGAGACCTTGAGGCTGTAATGTGCCTGAGCAGATGATTATGTTTTGCACTCCCTTGGAACATTGCAGCAAGTCCAGGACATAAATGTTAGCATAAGAGTAAAATGGTTTACTATGTTGTTGGACAACGATAACTTCTCTGACATTCCATGACAATATTTAAAAGAAAACCAATGTTCAACTGAGATGGCAAGTGTGTCCTTGTCTTAATTTCTTAACGGCAAGAGGGACCCTCTGACAATGTAGCATCGCTTAATCATTGCCCTTGAATATCATTATAATGATTTAATTGGCTTGGAATATACGCTGAGCATGGTCTCCCCACAACCCAGCATAAATGTTGGATGTGTACCTGCAATGGGTTGGCCAGCTTCCACACTTTAATTTTTTTTTTAAATGGGCTTTTATGAATTAAAAGGTAAGACTTTTGCTCCTGAGCAGCAGCCCTCTGGGCCAAAATTTTTGGGCTGTATGTTGCGTCTAGGCCTCTCCAATCAGCCTATTAAATTTGAATGACAGTGGGATGAGGCTCTTAAGTGACACGAATGGCCTAATTAAGGCCCTCAGTTGGCCAACATATGGGTGACCCATCCAACACCTCTCCTGCCGCACATAAAATGACAGGCCTCGTTTTAGCAACCTAAGTGCCTAACTTTAACTCCTCTGTTTCCCATCAATAGCATTATGCAGAGGCCTAAGTTCAAATTTTGATTTTATGTGGACACTTAATGCTGCCCAGTTATACCACTCCATCATAAAATTCAATTCAAATCACAGTCTTCAATTTTTCAGTGTGTCTAAAATTAAAATGAAAATAAGCTAGAATTTCCCATAATTAAACATTGTTAAGACCAGTCATTTTATTGCATCCTAAATTGATTGACAAAAAATCTGTGTAAGAAATGCAATGTTGAATCTGGCAGCACTGGCTGTCCGTGTGGTCCTGTTTTAGATGAGAGAATTTCAAATCTCTTCCCCTATTACCAAATATCCTCAGCCCAACCATCTTCAGCTGCTTCATCAATGACCTTCCCTCCATCATAAGGTCAGAAGTGGGGATGTTTGCCAATGATTGCACAATGTTCAGCACCATTCACGACTCCTCAGTTACAGAAGCAGTCCATATTCAAGTGCAACAAGATCTTGACAATATCCAGCCTTAGGCTGACAAGTGATGAGTGACATTCGTGCTACACAAATGCCAGGCTATGACCATCAACAATAAGAGACAATCTATCAACCGCCCCTTGACAATCAATGGTGTTACCATCACTGAATCCCCCACTATCAACATCCTTGGGGTTACCATTGACCAGAAACTCAACTGGACTCACCACATAAACATAGTGGCTACAAGAGTTGGTCAGAAGTTAGGAATACTGTGGTGAGTAACTCACCTCCTGACTCAAAGCCTGTCCACTATCTACAAGGCACAAGTCAGGAGTGTGATGGAATACTCCCCACTTGCCTGGATGAGTGCAGCCCCAACAACACTTAAGAAGCTTGACACCATCCAGGACAAAGCAGCCCGTTTGTTTGGCACCACATCCACAAGCATCCAGACCAGACGGTCAGTAGCAGCAGTGTGTACTCACTACAAGATGCACTGCAGAAATTCACCAAAGATCCTCAGACAGCACCTTCTAAACCCACGATCACTTCCATCTAGAAGGACAAGGGCAGCAGATACATGGGAACATCATCACCTGCAAGATCCCCTCCAAGCCACTCAACATCATGACTTGGAAATATATTGCCATTCCTTCACTGTCGCTGGGTCAAAATGCTGGAATTCCTTCCCAAATGGCATTGTGGATCAATCCACAGTAGGTGGACTGCAGCGATTCAAGAAAGCAGTTTATTTGAAATCACAAGTTTTTGGAGTGCTGCTCCTTCGTCAGATGAAGGAACAGCATTCCGAAAACTTGTGATTTCAAATAAACCTTTTGGACTATAACCTGGTGTTGTGTGACTTCTGACCTTGTCCACCACAGTCCGACACCGACACCTCCGCATCATGGCTTCCTATTAATTGGTTACCAGCCCCTGAATTCAATTGGTTTTAAATCCTTGCTCTCAATTATCAATCAATTTATAACTGAAACCTTGCTTAATTTCTGCAACCTTCTTCAGTACCAGTTTCCCAATTGGCATTACTCAGTCTTTGAACTTTAATTTTCTGTGTATTAATCCTTTTGATTTACCATCAATAGCACAACCCTCAGATGGCACCTTACTTAACTCTGGGACTTGATAACTTATCCCGCCTGTGTCAAAACTTTCTGAAAAATATCCTCTTTAAACATTTAAATCATTTTTTTTAACAACATCCCTAAGTATTTTTCAGTAATTGTTTTGGCATTGTTTCTGACACACTTTGGAATGCTTGTTACTTTAAAGTTGCTATGTAAGTGTAAGTTGTTATTGACACAAGGTCACCACAAATTGCATTATTCAATCGTACCTGAGTCTTTGCATTTGAACTCAAAATGAGAGTCACAGGTTCTTATGCTTCCTTCACAGCTGCTTTCATCACTGCCATCTTCACAGTCCCAATCCCCATCACAGTGCCATCGTTGTGGAACACAGTTGCCATCCAAATAACACTGAAATTGTTTTCTGTGACAACCACCAGGTGACCTTGTGGCTGCAGGGACAACACAAATAATGTACTTAGCATTTAATGCAATCATTTTGAGAAAAACAATGATAAGGCTATGACAGTTATATTAATTGTTCTTTCTTCAATACTTTTACCTCAATATTTCATATTTTATCAAATTTCTCCAGTACTCTTGGCCTTTGTGTTTTCATTCCAAATACAAGGCATTATGTCTAGCAGTGCCAATGTTCTGATTAATACTGGAGTACCATATCAAAATGTGATGCTTCAGTAGAAATTCATTAGTGCAGGAGTGGGAATATTAATTCACATACAGCATTAGAAACCACAAATGTTAATTGAAACAGGAGTGCTCACTATTTACAGATGAACCTTTCACAGATACGACTAATTCAAGAAACCAGTGGAATACATTATTGGAAAAGTATATTTTCCAAAAATGTGTTCTGAATTTTCAAAGACCATGATAAAACAGATTAAGTTTTGATTTTAGAACTCTAGGACCTTAATAATGGACAAGTTAACAGTTGTTAAGTTGTTTTATTTAGAGCTAAAGGGCACATCTTTGCTCATATGCCTATTGTTCGTAACCAAAAGATTGCTTCGTCAAACTGATTTAATGAAACCTGCAGAAGCATGGCCCATGATTAATTTGAGTCTCAGGCACCGTTATGATGTGTTAAATAACCCCCAACATCAATGGCTGAGCAGAATAAGAAACTAATTCAGCAGGGCTTAAAATCTTGTAAAAAGAGATGTCTTATTCTATGCAAACATGCCAAACAACATAACCTTCTGAAAGTATAATGAATCTTTCATGCATGAATGCGTATGAAGTCCATTCATTTGTATACCATATGTAGATATTAAGATAGAAGTAGAGAGGATGTTTCCACTGGCAGGTGAAGCTAGGACAAGAGGGCATTGCCTCAAGATTAGAGGGAGCAGACTTAGGACTGAATTGAGAAGGAATTTCTTCACCCAGAGGGTTGTTAATCTATGGAATTCCTTGCCCAGTGAAGTTGTTGATGCTACTTCAGTAAACGTTTTTTAAAAAAAGGTAGATTTTTTTTTTTGAAGAATAAAGGAATTAAGGGGTACGGTGAGAACGCGGATAAGTGGATCTGAGTCCACGAAAAGATCAGCCATGATCTTATTGAATGGCGGAGCAGGCTCGAAGGGCCAGACGGCCTACTCCTGCTCCTAGTTCTTATGTTCTTATGTACAGCCATCCTTCTCTGTGGAACTGAAAATAAAGTATCAATCTTCTAAAACTCTGTCAATTGTTTCACCTTTGACTTTACTCACATCCACAACTGCTCTCTTCTATTATGAAACTCACTGAAATATCTAAATGAGTACTTTAAATGAATGATTCAATTTGTTGGATGCCATTCATGCTATTCCATTGTTTGGCTCGTTAAGAGTCATGTGAAAATGTTGAACTTGAAAAATGATTTTTTTCAATGATGCATAAAAATTCTTTTCAAACAGTTTCACTTGTAGTTGAAGTGCATGCGCTTCAGAGAGACTATATACAGACTGTAATTATTTCAAATTCAGCATTTGCGTTAAGAATATTTTGTAAACAAGCATTTAAATATATTATCAAGTACTATTTATTAATTTTACAAACATTCAAAGTTGAAAATTTCAATAGTTTCAAATCTAATACTAGGCATATTTTCAACTGGCTGTCCAAACATTGTGAATCAGCAAGCTATTACAGAACAATTGATTTTAACAGAAATGAAAATTGAATGCTTTCTACATGGTTAACCAATTCTCAGTGCCAATTCTACACACAATTGAAAAATCTACATCACTATTTCTAAGGCAACGCTCAAATACCCCTCCAAGGGAGGTAAAACTTATTTTGATTAATGATGGGAAACCATCAAATGCTTCCATGCTTACACAGGCACCCCTAAAATAAAAATAAATTCAGATATATATTTGGTGTAGTGGGATAGAATGTGGTGGTATATGTGCAGTTAACTAAAGGCTACGTGAAAGCCTCCTTCTGAGATTTTAGCCAGAGAGGGAGTGGCCATACCTCCAGCCTGCCAGGTAAAACTTGATGGATTGGTGGCTAGAAAGGGAGATGGGCTCCCTTGTCCATTGAAGGTCACAACTCAGGGTTTGCGTGCAGCTAACATTTCACCCCCACACCTTCCCATGTTACCTTTGGCACCCAATCCCCTATCACCCCCCTCTTCTGGGTTGTAGTGATTGGTATAAGGTTAGCTAGATGGATCTCATTGAGTATGCGTTCCTTGATTGGGGCTGTTAATCTGGACCAATCAGGGAGTCCGAGCTGACATATATAAACAGCAGTCTCACGGATTCTCTTCACTCTAGGGTCTGGTTCTGAGCGAGCTGGTCAGAGTCCACATACTGTGCACATGTAAATATAGGGTGACTGGGTGACTGGCTTCGTGGAGTTATTTCATGGGCCTACCAGCCTGATACCAGCAAATCTCTGGGAATATTCACAGTGATGATCCACACAATGCACTCCCCTCATGCATTTGCTGTAGTCATAGTTGTGACCACTACTGCATCCAGTGGAACTGCCGACACAACAGAGTTGCTATCTACCTGATTGTTGGTGGGATGGGGGCTGTCTTTAATTATTAACAACCTAAGGGACATGAAATATTTGCAGGGCAGACTGCTACATGATGCCAGAGAGATGAGAGGCAGGAGACCTAATATTAACATTCAACCAGTGATTTACAACATGCCTGATAGAAAGTAATGTGCAGAAATGTGGTTTGTGAGTTACCTAACTCATCGCAAGTGTTGTTATTTTTATTGTCTGTCAGGATATCTTCTCAACTCAGTTTTGAAGTTAGACGAATAGAATATTTAGTGTAAAGCCATGGTCGACTATTTTAAAGTAACCTAAATAAATCACTTTTAAGGTCAATATTCCTGAGTTATTTATGCCTTCAGATATGCTGTAAAAATTGATATTTAATAAATTTGATGCATTTTATTTGTTTTAAAATACTGAATTTAAACAGATTTTTTAAAATATGAGTTCATCATAAACCTAATAGAATCATGGCTTGTATTATTACATGTATTAGCAATTGTATTTTCCTGTAATCTAGAACAAGTATTTATAATTTCTTCTCTTCTTAGCAATGCCTATGAATTTCTCTCTCATATGGGAACACCAACATTGGCGCCTTGGGATCATAGATTTATATACAGTTCTGCAGAGAGCCAAGATTTTGTTTTGAATCCATAGGTCACAAAAACTTTGATCACTCTCAGAGTATCTTGCAAATAGATTTATCAATTTTGTATTAATATAATGTTTGGTGGACAGCATTCACTTGTATTTAAATATCTTCATTAGCTAAAAGCATTCAAAATGATGACTAACATTGGGTGGAAGGATCATTTGGATCATGAATCCAGCTCTTTGTAACACGATTAATAGAATCTGCATGATTCTGAAACACATCCGCAGTGGGTATCAAAAAAGGCTTTTAACAAGGTTCACTTCTGAATACTGTAGCCAGTAATTTGCATTGACCAAAATATTTTTGTTGACTCTGCTTGCGTGAAGCTTATACACATGCCCCCTTTGTGAAAATGTTTAAAGCTAAATAGGCAGTGTACATCTGTATGACCTACACTTTTGGACATTTTATCGATCTCACATTCCATTTCCCTTCTTAGTCTTAGTAATTAATTAGAAGTTAGAGCTGATTCTATCTTTAACTTTGTGAACTCTCATATGGCAACACCAACATTAGCGCCATGGGATCATAGATTTATACACATTTCTGGAGAGAGCCAAGATCTTGTTCTGTATCTATAGGATACAAACACTTTGATCACTGACACATTATCTTGCAGATAGGTTTATCACTTTGATTTTAATATAATGGTACTAATGGGGCCATGGTTACCAATATTGCTTCTGTCCTACCTTTGCTGGTGCATGCAAATAAAATGTCATTCAACAGTTTGGGAAGAGGAACAACAATATTTGTAAAACAGTGATTGCTTTTGCATACTTCTGATTCTGCCCCAAGATATTACAGCTTTGGAAAATCTACAATGCTGATTACTTAGCACACAAACCTGGTTCTGTACAATTGGCATGGGTTTCATCGCTAAAATCCCCGCAGTCATTGTCGCCATCACAGATCCAGTGCTCAGGAACACACCGGCCATTGTTACATTTGAATTGAGTGTTGGTACAGGAAGGAGAACAACCCACCTCATCACTACCGTCCCCACAGTCATCATCTGTAACAAAAGCAAAACTATGAAAAACACTAACACACCAAGTTTTCAATCACAGGCTACAAATGGTTAAGAAAAGTGCCCAATGAGTATTAATACTGAAACTCATGAGGAACAGCAGTTATAGAATCAAAGAATCCTTGCAGTGTGGAAGCAAGCCATTCAGTCCATTGAGTACACACCGACCCTACGAAGAGCATCACACTCAGACCCACCCTTCTACCCTATCCCTATAATCCAGCATTTCCCATGGTTAATCTACCTAGCCTGCACATCCCTGGACATGATGGGTCAATCCACCTAACCTGCAAACCGTTGGACTGTGGGAGGAAACCAGAGCACCTAGACGAAACCCATGCAGACACGAGGAGAATGTACACAGACAATCACCTGAGGGTAGAATCCAACTTGAGTCGCTAGCGCTGTGAGGCAACAATGTCAGCCACCATGCTGCTCACATACAGGAGTTATAGGAACACTGAAATTTACAATAAGATTTGAATAAAATTTCTTCTTTCTTTAGGACACTGACTCTTTTAAGCATATGTTCAACATGTGCCAACAATCATTCTGTATTTTGCCCAATTGATTATTTTTTAGATGTAATCCTGGCGTGCAAGCTCTTTGATGTTGGAGAGCATTACAGCCTATCTTGATCGTGTCCTCACATGATGTTTGAACAAATGCACACTAATTAGAAGTAATTTTGTTTTGCAGGAGAATGTTGAGCTAAGTTCTACCATTGCAATGTTGCCCTTGGCAAAATGAACTAACTCAGCACAGATGAGGGCCCAAACCTATGATCTTCTGGGCTATATTTCAGCACCATCCTTGATGGTATAAAGCATCGAAATTGTTGACAACAATTTCAAACATAGCCTTAGGGAATCCGGCATCTTGCAGTAAATATCATTTCATTTTTAAATGTGTGCTGCTGACAATATGAAGCTGCACCATAAATCCGTTGAATGTTACAATGAGATTAGTTTAGACTTGAAATCTGTTACTTTTAACTCTCATATTCCTGTTAGATCTTTGTGAAGACAAAGGAGAAATCAGAGGCAAGACAGAATGAGTGGTCTACTAAAACCGAACGTGTTTTGCTTATTTTAATGGTCAGACAAGGTTACAGGAGTTTGTAAAATTTCACAATGTCAGGTTCTGATCTCAGTTTATGTGAAAAATGAACAAAAAGAAGAATCTGAATCACTACTGCAGTCTACACTTGAAGAGGTGCACGAATACCACTGGTAAAATGAGCACTGAATTCCAGATCAAACCCAGAGATGTGGGATGACAGTGAATGGGGATTAATTGGGTGGATTTTACGAAGAGTCGGCACAGTCATGTTGGTTGAAATGGTCTTGTCCTTAGTTGTATGATTCTTCTCCTGATTTTCATGATTATATGGTATGATCATGGCTTTTAAAATGTCCTGAACTTTTATGAACTTTGTTGGAAATTTCAAATAAAATTTCTAAATTACTTTTAACATGGATTTGATAGACTCTACAACGCCATTCGTTCCACCTTCACTCTTTGTAATTTTAAACATGATTAGCATTCCCTTGCCCTCTGTATTCTATTTTCCTTCAAAGAAAGATATCCAGTTCTAGTAACACCCCTCTAAATGTTTGATAAATTTCTGAAGGACTTTAATATTCTTTTTGTTGTACGTGGAACAGAGCTCCGCACAGTTTTCCAAGTGTGGTCTAATAAAGATTTGAGATGATGTTAACATTAGCTACCTGCTTTAGAATTCTAGCTACACAACGAAGCTTCATCAATTTCAGCATCTAGAAACAATGACAGGAGAAGGCTACCAGCATCTCCAGCCTATGCTGTCATTCATTGGGTCAGGGCCGATTTGTAAACAAATTCATTTATTTGATTTTGATTGACATCCCTTGATACATTAATGCAAAAAAAATCTGTTATCAATTTTGAACATTTAAAGCATTCGCAGACTTTAAGGAGATGGAATGCTAAATCTCTACTACCCTTTGTGTGAAAAAACTCTTTCCTGGTCTCACTCCTGTAAATGGCAAAACTCTGAATCTTAAGACTGTGTCCCTTCACTATTGTTTCACTTATTACAAGAAATAGTTTGTCTCTCTCTATCCTATCAGAATCGCTTTATCATTTTAAACATTTCAAATAAAATCAATCCACTATCTTCTAAGTTCAATAAAATATAAAGTTAAATCTATGCAAAGTGTCCTGATTATTTAAACCTTTCAGTCTTGGTATCTAAATTCTATTAAACTGAAATAAGTGAAAAATACACTTTTAAATTTACTAATACCATTCCCTAAACTAATGAAATTATGGATAGGTTTCGAGACCAACGACTGTGTAATTTATGCTATATTGCTCCTACAAGACAATGCATAAAAACACTACTTTTAATTGAAAAAGTATGATAAAAATGAATGCGGGCCTTCAAATTCACTACGAAATCAATCTAAAGAAACAAAAGTGATTGTATAAAATATTATTTTAGACAAGTCAGCTGTGTCTTTCATGATTGTATTACCTGAATCACAACGCCATTTAATTGTGATGCATCTTCCATTATTACAAGTGAACTGAGTTAGAGGAGCGCAGGTAGGAAATGCTGTTAAGAAAATAAATAAATAAAATTATAAAGAAAACTTGATGTGCCATAATAGTAACTGTCATATAGTACAAAACAGTTGATAATTTAATCAGTTGTTACAATTCCCGAAATAACCTAATTGTTTCCTATCCCTTTCCTTCCTTTGGTTCCTATGTAATTCCTTCCCCATCATTAATTACCAGAATTAGTTTGCTCACTGCCATACAAGCTTAGCAATAGCTGACGTCTGAAGTACATAATGACAACAACCACTTGTATTTCTAGTTTGTTTGACATAATAAAATGTCAACAGATGCTTAATTGGAGCATTATGAAACAAAATTTGTCTCTGAGTTAAAGAGATTCAAAGATAGATGTCCAAAAACTTTGTCAAACAGGTTGACTGTAAGTGGTGTTTTAATAGAGAAAAGAAAGGTTGAGTGACAGAAAGGTTTAGATGGGGAATTCAGAGGCACAGCTTTGACAGCTATCAAAGGCAAAACAATTAAATTTGGGGATGCTCAAGTGAACAGAATTAGACAAGTATAAATATTTAAAGATGGTTACAAGGCTTGAAGTGATTACAGAGATAGGGAGAAGTCAGGCCGTGGCAGGGATTTGAATACAAACATGAGAATTTTAAAATCAAGGCATTGCTTTTTTGGGAGCCAACACAAATTCCCCCTGCTTGAGAGATTTGTCATCTCATCCCTGCAGCATTTCCACAGACACCTGGGAATCACTGGCCAAAGACCATCCACAGCGGAGGAGGAGCATCTGGGAAGGTGTTGGGCACCTCAAGATTTGCCGTTGGGAAAAAGTGGAAGTCAGGCGAAAACAGCAAAAGAAGCCGGCTGCTACACCAATGCCTTACCCACCCCTTCCGCCCCAAGTATAACAGAGTCTGCGGTAGCCGCATTGGTCTATGCATGGACTCAACTTCAGAGAGGAAGACAGTCATCCTCATCTGCGAGGGACTGCCAATGATGTTGATGATCATCATCCCTGAACAAGTTAATTAGAAAATATCTAGGCCAACGAGTAAGAGTGAGAATGAACATGTCTTGGTGCATGTTAGGACTCCAACTCAGATTTACAGTGGGTAGAACATGATAACTGTGGATCTTTCCCAATTGAGTGGAAATATGGTTGAGATATGCATTGTGAATCTTTTGGCTGTGGAAATCACTGAAAACACCATCATCACAGATAAAGAAATGTTAATGTTAATGTGAGGAATGTGATCACAAAAACAAGTTTATAACTTCCAGTACATTTATAATGAAGTTTCATTAGAGGTTGTAGGCCATGAAATTCTACTGCTACTCACAAATGTGCAGCTTAACTTTGAAATTTTTAGCCTAATCTTATCTTTCATCTTCAATAAATAATATTCAACCGTTTTTGTTACGAACAATTTCTGTTTAGCATTCATTGCCTTTGATACCTTTCTGAACCATTCTTCTTTGTCAGAGGAAGAAGAAACTACAAATTGTAATCTAACAACAAGTTGTGCAGAAAACATTACTACCAACCAATGGACCGTGCACGATCAGAATAACTATGAACTACCCACATGTATCACTGTACAAAATGACATCCATAATGTTTCAGCATCATGGCCAATGAAAGAGGAATAGGAACATAAATTAGAGCATCCATGTACAATTATACAAACATTGATTAGGCAGTATTTTATGTTATATATTGGTCATGTTTGGATTTTTCATTAATATGCTGTAATGTGGATATGTAATCTAAAAATTAAAAGATCAATAAAGTCATCAGTTGTGCATATCACATAATTTTTGAAAGGAACAATTTTGAATCAAAGGACACTGACTGAAAACAATTAAAATGTTGCATGTGTGAAAAACACAAATTGTGTTTTTGGAAATGCAAGATCAATAAAGCTCTCTGAGATAGGTTCATATGCCCCCAGGTTTTGGGGATAAGATTTTTAACAAATATTCAGGAAGAAAGACTGTTCCAGTACAGAGGGAAACAGACTTCCTGTACTCTCTATTTCTTTTAAGCATCTCTTACGAAACTGAACTGTCAGCCTGAAAGGTAAACAAAAACAGAAGTTGCTGGGAAAACTCAGCAGCTCTGACAGCATCTGTGGAGAGAAAGCAGAGTTAATGTTTCAGATTCAGTGACCCTTCTTCAGAATCTGAAGGCCCATCAGAAGTCATAATTGCTGCAACCCGAAAGTTCTCACAGGAGAATTCTGAATCAATGCCACTGACACCAAGTAAACAAAATAATCGCCCACATCTCCCATTACAGAGTAACTGTCTTAGTTAGAAACATCAGTAAGAGCAGCTACTATAGGAGAGAGGACCAACATCTGGAAACAATTATTGAGTATTTTTCCTTTCCATTACCTGGCTAAGTTTTAAGATCTGATACCTGATCAGTTTCCTGCATTTGTTTGCATGTATTAGGGGTGTTATGAATGTGTTGTTTTGGCATTATTGGGTAGTTTCATATGTTTGCACATTTGAAGTGTTTTGTTAATAATTGCTTAAGTGAGGTTTAGAAATAAAACAAACTCTTTTTTTTGTAAACTGAAGGAAACTGGCTTGCTTATTTCTTACAGCAGGTTATACAGAGTGAAATATTTATTTATTAGCTTGACAGCATGACTTCCCTTTCAAACTCACTGCAGCGTCACCAAGTTAGGATGTAGTTAAAAGAGGAGTCAGTTCAGTCCCTCTAGATTTGGATGTAACTACCCAAGTGTCCTGAAAGAAACAGCATACAAGAAACAAAGCCTTGGGATGTGACTCGACTGGTACCGCATCACATCAGTGGGTCAGAACTCCAAAATAGTACAGCTGTTTTTATCTATTACTTCTAAAATATGATTTGCTTAAAGGAGGACTGCTACAGAGATGAAATAACTGTAGACAGAACTCCTGTGTTAGGGATTTCAAAAATGCTTCAAAACAAATAATAATGCAAAACAAGTAAACAATGGGGAGATGATGGCCCAGGTATCATCGCTGGACTGTTAATCCAGAGACCCAGATAATGTCTGGGGACCTGGGTTTGAATCCCTGCCACTGCAGCTGTTGGAATATGAATTCAATTTTTTTAAAAAATTGGAATTAAGAGTCTACTGATGACCATGAATCCATTGTCAATTGTCAGGAAAAACACATCTGATTCACTGAAAGATAATAGGAACTGCCGATGCTAGAGTCTGCGATAACAAGGTGTAGAGCTGGATGAACACAGCAGGCCAGGCAGCATCAGAGGAGCAGGAAAGCTGATGTTTTGGGTCTGGACCCTTCTTCAGAAATGGGGGAGGGGAAGGGTACTCTGAAATAAATAGAGAGAGGGGGAGGTGATGATAGAAGGTGGATAAAGGAGCAGATAGGTGGAGAGAAGACAGACAGGTCAGGGAGGTGGAGATGGAGCCAGTAAAGGTGAGTGTAGGTAGGGAGTTGGGACGGGGATTGGTCAGTTGAGGGAAGACGGACAGGTCAAGGGGGCGGGGATGAGGCTAGTAGGTAGGAAGTGGGGGTGGGGGTTGGTCAGTGAGGTGGGAGGAGCGGATAGGTGGGAGAAAAAACGGACAGGTCAAGGAGGCGGGGACGAGCTGGGCTGTTCTTGGGATGAGGTCGGGGGGTGGGGAGATTTTGAAGATTGTGAATTCCACATTGAGACCACTGGGCTGCAGGGTTCCCAAGCGAAATACGAGGTGCTGTTCCTGCAGCCTTCGGGTAGCATCATTGTGGCACTGGAGGTGGCCCAGGATGGACATGTCATCCAAGGAGTGGGAATAGGCCCTTCACCCCTCCAAGCATTCGCTGACATATTTTGCCCTTCCATACTAAAACTGTCTTCACTTACAGCATCTGTATCCCTCTATTCCCTTCCTATTCATGTATTCGTCCAGGTGCTTCTTGAATGCTGCTACTGTGTCTTCTTCTATCACCTCCTCTGGCAGCACGTTCCAAGCACGCACCACCCTTTGTGCGAAAAACGTGCCTCGCACATCTCTTTTAAACTCCACCTCATCCCCTCCACACCTTGAACCCGTGTCCCCTAGTTATTGACCCTTCCACCCTGGGAAAAAGCCTCATGCTTTCCACTGTATCCATGCAATTCACAATCTTATAAACTTCTTTAAAGTCATCCCTCAACCTCCTGGATTCCAGTGAAAACAAACCCAGTCTATCCAAACTTTCTTCATAGCTAAAATCCACCATACCAGGCAACATCCTGGTAAACCTTTTCTGTACTCTCTTCAAAGCATTCACATCCTTCTGGTAGTGTGTTAACTAGAACTGTACGTAATATTCCAAATGCAGCCTAACTAAATTTCTATAACGCTGCAGCATAACTTACCTATACTTATACTCAATGCACCTTCCAATGAAGGCAAGCATGCCTTGGGCCTTTTTTACTACCTTATCTACCTGCACTGCCACCTTCAGTTCTCTGTGGACTTGCACACCCAGATCCCTCTGCATATCAATATTCTTAAGCATTCTGCCATTCACTGTATAATTTCCACCTGCACTTGACCTTCCAAAATGCATCATCTCACATTTGTCTGGATTAAGCTCCATCTGCCATTTTTCTGCCTCCAACTTATTTATATCCTGCTGTATCCTTGGACAATCCTCCTCACTGTTTGCAACAGCACCAATCTTTGTATCATCCACAAACTCACTAATTAGACCAGCCACATTTTCTTCCAAATCATTTATGTAGACCACAAACTGCAGAGGTCCCATCACTGATCCCTGTGGAACACCTCTAGTCACAATTCTGCATTCCAAGAAAGTATCTTTCCACTGTTTCTCTCCATCTCCTATGACTAAACCAGTTCTGTATATTCAAGAAAGCTTGGTTACACAGGTCCCTTTTAAAACATAAGTTAATTTGGGTTTAGGAGATATCTTTCCACAAGGGATGAGTTTTTTTTTTCAATTTAATTAACCTTGTTGAAACCAACCAAGGTAATAGTTGAATAAAGGAGGAGAGCCAGTTCATCCAGGGGCTTAAAAGTATTGACGTATTCTGTCTGGAATGGGACTGAAGTGTGGAATCTCTCCTGAGATCTGGGAAGGATTCTTATACGCAATAAAAATCTCACTCCATTTGAGAAAGTTATATTTATATTTTTACTTGACACAGTGTACATGGAAATGTTGCATCATGAAAGCAGTCAGTGTCAATCTCAAAGTAGAAGTTTCCAAGATATCATCTTAAGTAGCTATTAGTACATAAGATAGATATTCATTTAATCAGCATATTTATACTCATCCAAAATCTACCAGGAACTATGAGTTATAAAGATTGAAAGATAACATTATAGTAATAAAGATAAGTTTTGATTTTATTGAGACAGATGGTCAAGTGATTAAACCTAAGGCCTCCAAAAACACAGATACTTGGCACTACATGAAAATCAGGTCATCATTAACACTGATGCTAATGAAATGCCCTGAGAAATTCATACTAGCTTTCAAAACATTCACAGTTTGACAAGCAGTTGCTGCCAATTGTTCTATTTGGACACATAACAGAAAACTAGTTCACATGTATCAATTAAAAGTTGGCAAGATGGGTCAATTAGCAATCATAACTGTCTGTGCTTTGGATGACAGGGAGCCAATGCAACTTATAAAAATTCAGCCAAAAGTATAATTTATGCAATGCAAATAATTGTCAAAAACCTACTTGAGGTTATCAAATAATACAACCTCAAACATATAAACAGTCTCTGCTCCTAAAATAAATTCACTGACTAAATATATTTTTCTATCATGGAAGCTTTAGAGGTTAATAGA